GGGGCAAGGGGGCACCACAAAGCACAACAGTTGTTTCTTAGCCGTGTGCGGTGCACCCCTCCACAGTTTACTCCTCCGGTCATATTGTCATAGTGCGTAGGCGAATCCCTGCGCGGATCACATCACCATCATCGTCACCACGCCGTCGTGATGACGAAACTCTCCCTCGACACTTTGCTGGATCAAGAGTTCGAGGGACGTCATCGAGCTGAACGTGTGCTGAACTCGGAGGTGACGTACGTTCGGTACTTGATCGGTTGGATCGCGAAGACGTTCGACTATATCAACCGCGTTAACCTAACGCTTCCGCTTTCGGTCTACGAGGGTACGTGGACACACTCTCCCCCTCTAGTTGCTATGCACCTCCTAGATAGATCTTGCGTGTTCGTAGGAAATTTTTTGAAATTGCATGCTATGTTCCCCAACAGTCCGACCATAGGCCGAGAATTGAAGCTTCGCCGTCTCCACTTCCGCCTCAGCGCTCTCCAGCTCCGCCTCCGTAACCTTTGCCTTCGGAGGTCTGGGAAGTGAAGTTGTCCGCCTCCACATCGCCGCCAAGCGACTAATCGGCCAAAGGTGTTGAGCCCACCAAGCTTGGAGTCGATGGGAGGGGAGGAGCGGTGGCCTTCCTGAGACACGAGCGACGGTGACCTACCGTGCACTACTGTTCCTTGCTGCCGGCACCGCCCACAGACGCGTCAGCTTCATGGTTGTCGTGGCAGGGCGCGGACTTGGCATGTCCTCCCTGTCGTCGTGGTCTTGGCGAACACCGCCTCGCCCACGTTGTCGCTCTTCTTGTAGGCGGTCGCCACCTCCACCACTGAGCGAGGCGAATCTCGCGGGCTAAGCGGTAAGGCTCAAGCAGAGCCTCCTGCTCTGCCAGGTTCGCGTCTGGTGCGACAGCCCTGCCAGCGGCATGCTGCTCCTTCGCCTACACGTGCTCCTACTGGAGGTGGTGGTTGTAGGCGGCGTCGGCCTGCGCCTCCCGAAACTGCTCCTCCCGCACCATGTCCATGTAATGGACACGGGCCTCGCCGATGGTCAAGGTGCAATGCACCAGCGAGGTTGGCGCATGGAGGAGGGTTGCGCTGGTTCATCGGCAGTGGCGTCCTCCATTGGGACGTCATCGTGCTCCGGCTGCCTGCCGGCCAACCAGCCAGCAACAATGGCAGCCATCTCCTTCTTCTGGTCTGACGTCAGCCATCCCAGAGAGCTTTGACGGGGGAGGGATCCATGGTGGGAGTGGTGCGGAGAGGGATTGGAGGTGGATGGCTGCGGCCATGGCCAGGGCACCGATTTTTATAGCAATGGTGGGCGGCAGAGGGATGGACGGGTGGCGCCGGAGGAGACGCCTCGGCAACCACGTGGCATCAATATGGGCATCAAATGGACGGACACGCGGCCATCGTGTCGCTTGAATGCGCGGCAGTCGCCTGCACCGGGAAGCAACGCGGGCGGCGCCAGTGAGCGGTCACGTCGTGGCCGGGCATGAATGCGGGCGCTGATGCTCTGGAGCGGCGCGGACCAAAAACGTGTGGGGGGAGGGTGAGGTTTTTGGTGGGCCAAAGCGGTCAGAACAAGGCTTGCGATCGGTCCAGGCTCCGCCAAAGTCCCCCACGTTTGTCTCCGGTTTACGGGAGAAATCCCGTCAGGACCACCCCACGGATCGATACATGCCCACGTTGGATGGATTTCGCTGTCCAGACAGCATGATCCAGACGGATGCGGGAGGTTTTGAGAGTCAGTGTTGGAGATGCTTTAAGTACAATGCTTATATACAGAGATATATAACAATCTTATGTTCCATAGTAATTGCTCCGGGTACTGCGTAGTTTCGATCGAGCATTGTGATACTGAATTTCCCTCCTCTTCTCAGCTGCTTTTGGTTTCTATCTCTGACAAAAACACATATCGGAAAATAAATAATCAGCTCCAGTGCAAGCTGGGATGCATGATTTCAAAGGCCAAACTGCGTCAGTAACCAACAGATACCTCCGTCGTGCCCAGAGCACTAGTATATAGTGTAATGAACGGATGAAGATGAACGATCTACTGTATGAGGTTTCTCGAGGGCAGGGCATACAACAGGTACGCCCAATGAACGGATGAAGACGCACGATCTATGAGCTAGTACACTGTACCAATCCAATCAACGGACGAAGAGAATTTGATTAGGTAACAACAGCATATTTACACGCCAAAACCATATGCAGAATAAAGTAGAATCTGCACGTAAGGTATGTGTTAAAAATCTTCCTTTTCGAACCTAACAGCGAAACCAAAATGTTAGATGACCAAACATTTGACAGGGTGAGGAGAATTAGCAGTGTTTTCCAAAATATCAGCACCAACCACACCCCCAAACGGCTCACCTACAGCCTAACAAAACAACACAACAACTGTAACACATATCATAAGCTTTCTGTGATCGAAGGGAAGAGGAAAAGAATTCCTCCCTCACGAAACAGATGTCTTGCAAGAAATGCAAATTCACCTGAAACCAGTAAGAAAAACGAGCACCTGAGTACACGGCTCACTATTTATATGTACCTGCGGCTTGAGCATTGTTGCTACCATCATTCCAAAGTAACCAGCCAGCAGCAGTCCTCATCGATCTATAGATGGCTTCCCTCCTGCTGCTGCTGCAAGCCATCATCCGTGGTGCCGACGAGGGGCGTCTCGGCACAAGGGAGGTGCCAGAGGAGGTGAAGCAGCCCAAGATGTTCTCCCCAAACCCTCTGTTGGAGCACAAGGGATGCAGGCTCGACGACGACGACGTGGAAGAAGAACGGTGGCTGGTTGCCTGCTTGCAGTGGCCCCGGACCAATCACCAATCAGCTTGGATGCAGACGATCTGATCTCATCGATCACTTATATTCATAAATGGAGTGCCTGTCAATCTCGAATGAAGATGGCTGGCTCTGCCTTCCAATGTAGTTCTTGCCTACATTGCCTAGGATAAAGTATTTTGTGTCTGAACAAATGTTGGTTGATTTCTTGCATGGCTAGTACAAAATGTTCAACATAACAGAGCTATCTCACTGCCAATAAAACTCTATCTGTATACAGGAAGCAAGAACTTGTTATTGGTGAAATTTCTTTCACACATTTCAATGGCCGGTCAAATATACAGCATCCCAAATGATCAACATTTCAGACAGGTGGCAATTCAACCCCAGTCGACAAAAGGAAGTGGAGGATAGCCACCTTCAGGGGGAGGTTGCAGCGATGGAGGTAAGTTGCCCCATGAAGTGTGGCCTGTTAGTATGTTTCCTGTGAAATGTGACAGAAATAAACGTAGCATTATCAAATGGAAGCTCATAAAGAGGTTAAGTTCAACAGCGAGCCAACAGGTGGGCTTCAACAGGCTCAAGCCTGCCCTAGAAAACATTTTTTTATTACTAGAGCACTCCGGTCTGAGCCTAGCTCCCCAGCCCATCTAAAAGCCCATTCACCATATAGAAGATGAAAAGAATGCAGCAGTTAGCCAGGCCAATAGCTTCACACGCACAAGCACAGCACCACGCGACTCGACGCAGCCAGACAGCCACGCCGCTGGAAGGACAAGCCGCCAAATATTTATTTGTCTAATTCTCAAATTACTTTGCTACGTCAGTAAACTATTAGTCTACTTCATGATCTATTAATTGATTTAGTGTCCAATATAATTTGTTCGCAGTCCCCTCAATAAAGAAAACTTGTTCGCAGATTTACAAAAATGAAGAGAAAGAGTATGAGCATGCACAATTTTTACACAAGCAGTTCAGTTATACCCTTGCCGAACCTGAATTTGCCCCAGCTAATGTGAACCCAGATCCCCTCCCTTGATTTCTGTGAGCACATGTCGTTCCCAACTACCAGTGCCTAGGGTTCCCTCCACGCCGACACCTTAGTCGCGCTCCTCTCTTCCATTTGGCGGCCCCGTCGGTGGCCAGATGAGTGGGGACCTGCCCTTTTTTTGTTAGCTCTAGTAGGTCTTGTTTTCTCTTGGTTTTGGGTTCTCTGGCAGCTCAGCGAGGTGGTCGCGGGCGACGATGGTGTGTTGGGATAAAAATTGTGCTAATTTGGACAGATGACTTGCGGTTGGGCACTTGACCTACATTTCTATATTTTCTATATTTTGGTTAAGAAGGCGTTGTAGGGAAAGGCTGCATACTATAGACCCAAAGTGGTCGGACCCTTCCCCGGACCCTGCGCAAGCGAGAGCTACGTGCACCGGGCTGCCCTTTTTTTGGTTAGAAGGCGTTGTACAATAGCCGTAATAAGCAACATTTCACACCAATACATCAATACTCTCTGACTTTTTATTGTTGCTTCTCTAGTATTGATGTATTGGTGTGTAAATTCATAATACATTAGACAATATTTTCAATGATGATACCAATTTAGTTTAGCTACCATAAAAATATTTAAGCCCACCCTCCATCTTCTTCCTGGATTCACCACTGGTTAAGTATGATGAAACATCTATGAAGCTACCCTGGTAAGAGTTGCCTTTGTAAGCATCAAAATTCATTGCTTTGGAAAAAGCTCCCAAGGATATGACTAGAAGAAGCTGACAGCAAATTGTTAAGTACTAGCATATTACTAAAGCACTTTAATATGTGGTCCATTATCAGGCAGCAACAGGCGGACCTGCTTGCAATCGAATTGCCTCCAAACATCTAAATAGAACCTAATTACTGATTTGGAAACGAGGCAAATGGACCCGTTAGCATGCAAATGGTTATATTCAACAATTTTATGCCACGGGTTCTATCTAGAAAATGACAACTGAGGCATGGAAAATGTGATGAGCAGATAGCTTGCTGCGTATCATAATTTTTGTTTTCCAGTGGCTGCCACAAAATAAAATCAAGTAATATGTCTGGCAAGAGTCTCATGCAAGAAATAGATCACCTGAGAAAGAATTTCCTTCCACCGCCGGATATCCAACAAAATTTGGTTGAGTTCCAAGAAAATTAGACTGTTGCCCCATTGCTCCTGGAACAGGCCCTGAACCATAAAATGAATTCAATACATAAGGCCTGCCCAAGGAATAAATTCAGTACAAAATGAAGTATCTAGCGTGCCAAAATACGTAGCCACGAATTGCAACTAACAATTCGAGCATAACTCGCTCATGTTAACTCTACGGGAAGATGAATACTAGTACTAGTCCACAAGACTATAAATACACCTCAACGATTTTGTAGGCATACAGCTATCATTTCATGGTAAAAGTAAGTGAAGAACGGAATACTGCTTGAATCTCACAAAAGTGTAGCAACCAAACAAAAGTCTACACAACTATCCACCAGAGAACCCAAGCTGAGTCGCTTAAGTCAAGTTTAGCATTGTGAAGCAAGTTTCTAGGATATGAGTTGCATCCTACAAGCCATACATCATGTAAACATATGAATAATTCATTCACATCAAACCCATGCTAGGAGTACCAGAATAGCATCTGAAAGTAAACTGACCAGACGGAGCTAATGCCGGGTTCACAGCATGTGGCTTCGGATGGAAGTACCTGCATGCATCCCCAAACTTGCATGTTCCCTGTAACATCATCAATCAAGAAGCTAACTGAACAATGGTGCACTGAGTAACATCATCCACAAACCATCGCGCATGAACAATTGACCTCAGATTCATCTTGGCACAGCCACGCGTAATGCAGAATGCTGTAGCTAAACTAGTACTCCCTCTGTAAACGAATGTGGTAGGAATTAAGAACTGGTAAGGAAAGGAACGTGCCGTGCGGACGAAGTGGTTGCAGACGCCCTGGCCGAGGATCGCGCCGTCGGGCTGGAGGAGGGGAGATGGGCCGCCGTGGGACTCTGCCGAAGAAGACGGGTTTAGGTTTAGGGTCAAGAATGGGAGGGGGCGGGCAAGGTGTTCGAGGGAATGCGTCATAGGCCTTGAGGAGGGAGGGGAGGGGGACGTAACCTTGGCGGCGGACGGAGTCGTACCAGAGGGCGCGGGCGCGGTGGTGCTGGGCGCCCTGGAGGTGGCGCCTGCGGGCGGCGGCGGTGTCCTGGAACTCCTTGTCGCAGTAGTCGCAGTAGTACTTGCCCAGCGGCATCTCCTTCGTCTGCACCTTCGGGCTTCAGCCGCGTTTGCAATCAGAGATTTCGCGAGAGTTTTCTGACAGTTTCTAAGCAGTGAGATGTACTTATCTCTCGATCTTTCTTTTCTAAAATTCGTCCATCCAAAACTCTCTCGCTAGAGCCTCTTCCTATAATCACGTCATGTTAGGTTCGCTAAAGCAACTTTCCTGCAAATTTCTGAAATCAGCATTTCATTTGTATAACGGGAGTATCCATTTTATTGTTTTTATTGTTTAACAAACGAGGCTGATTTTTTCTGCTTGCGTTTGTACTGTGTTCAAAACTTTTCTGCAAAATTCTGATGTATCTAGAGACATTTTAACTTTTTAGTGTTAGGAACTCCATCCATCACTTAATATAAAACTGTTTTTGACATTGTGCGAACATAATACCAAGCAAAATTGTAAGACGTTTTTCACACGGCCAGTGTCACAGGTCAAAAATTGTCTTATACTCCCTCCGTCCCAAAATATAAGAACATTTTTAACAATGTTAATGTTCTTATATTTTGAGACAGAGAGAGTATAAGACATTATTAAAATTGTTCTTATATTTTAGGACAAAGGGGATATTAAATTACAGAGGAAATATATTCTAGACAAATCTAAGACGACGGACATTAATTTACCAAGGGAGTACATTCACAGCAAAATTGGGTATGCTTCCAGCTTTTTCCGTTCAGAACGTTCGGAAACTTGCCGTGTTATTTCAAAAAAGTTAAGCCCAACCGTAGAAGACTGTATAAGCAAACCCCACAGCATAAGATTGAACGACTGAGTTGCATACATTACAGCTTCATGCAACAGAGTGAAAGATCAACTATTCAAAATGAGCTACAACCAAAACAAGATGAACACAAATCATGGCACGTTGCAACAAACGACTCAATAGGAGACAACAAGTACATAGCACCACTGCAGTAGCAACAGGTAGCCTTCAACAACAGGAATCTAAAACCAGGTGGCGGTGTCCGACGAGCAAGAAACTAGGAAAATCTTGAGGACCCAATACTAGGATCAATTACCATAAATACATTCATACTTCTCTAGAACATATTACAGATCAGCCATGGCAATCCCAATTCTCAGGCGAGGGTTAGTACAAGGGAGGATGAACCGGTTACATTGTCAAGCTTGCATCGCAGCATACTACTACTCAGCTACACAGGTCAACAGGGTGGAGTGGTCATACATCACGTCTTCCAACAACCATAATAGTTCATCATGCTCGCATGCTGCCCAACCAACATCCCCAGGGGAAATGTGGCACTTGTCGATGCAATTCCAACGACTCGTGCGACAAGCATCTCATAGTCACGCATGGGAGCTCTGCTTTCTCGCATGATCTGGGATCAATTTTGCCGCAACATCCGCTGGGATTCCTTTCAGTTCTGAGCACAAACAGAAAGCGAAAATAAGACTAGGTGTTGAAAATAAGACCAGGCAACAAATTAGATATTCAAGTCTAACACAAGTAATCACTATGATCCCAGCCACCACAAATAATCACTGTTGCATTACTTACCGTTAGGCTTGAAGTTAAAAAGAGGAGGCAGAAAGCGGCTATTCGGAAGGCGGGTACCCGGGTCCCGAAGCTCATCAAAGAAGGGGTGAACAAGTGCCTCAACCTGGACAGCAAGTTAATAGAGATCTTAGTAAAATACCATACTACACAAGATCATTGCAAAAGAATTGTATGAGTGCAGTATTCTCTGTGTTTCAACCACATGATGTGCATTCTAATATACTTACAGCAGTGCATCTTAGGTTGGGCGAGTACTGGAGGAGCCGAGAGACTAGATCAACAGCTTCAGGTGGCATCCTTTTATGGAATACCTACAGATTGCACGTGTTAGTAGGCTGATATGCACCAATACCTAACAGTATATAAACAGCACTACATAGATTTGTACCTTGTGCCATGGGTGTGCTTTAATCTGTGGGAATTTGAACTCTGTATAATTTGGGTTCATGCATTTAATTTCTTCCCTTGTAGGGGTACCAAGGACCTGCAGCAAATGATCAAATTCTATGTGATAAGAACTTTTGCCTGGGAAATAAAAAAGACAACCGATTGCTAAGCACTAGAACTGTTTAACCACCTTGATGATTTCAACAAGCTGGTCCACACCACTTTCACCAGGAAACAGAGGCTGTCAAACAAAATGACCTTGTAAGCCATTATGAACTAACAGTATAGTGCTGATTTGTTAAGGGCTACATTCAAGATGCACAAAGAAAAGCAAGCTGCTTACCTGCCCTAGCATAAGCTCAGCAAGAACACATCCAGCAGACCAAATGTCAATGGCTGTAGTGTACTCAGTAGCACCAAATATGAGCTCTGGAGCCCTATAGTATCGGGAACAAATGTATGATATGTTTGGTTCTCCCTTAACAAGAACTTTTGCGCTCCCGAAGTCACACAGTTTCAGCTGGTGAGTATGTGGGTTTACCTACAGTTATAGTTCAGAAAAATCAATCCACAGATAAAAACATGTGATTGATTTTGAGACCAACAGAAGATGAGTAAGTTCTCAGCATACCAAAAGATTCTGTGGCTTGATATCCCTGTGGCAAACTCCAATGCTGCCATGAATGTAAGCCAGAGCCCTACATATCTGTCAAAATAAATAAATATGGGATTAGCAGACGCCCAAGTATAACGCGGTACCAAAAAGAAAAGAACATACAGAAATATTACCTGGTATGTATACAGCTTCACATAGATTAGTGGCATGCGCTGGTTCATCTTGTTGTAATGCTTGACAACACGATGGACAGTCTCAGGCACATACTCGAGAACCAAGTTTAGATACAGTTCATCCTTCTCAGTTGTAGAAAAGAAACAATGCTTCAGAGCTACAACATTTGGGTGGTCAAGCAGGCGCATGGTCTGTAGCTCACGGTTCTTGTAGCGCTTATCCTGAAGGACCTTCTTAATGGCAACAGTTTCCCCTGTCTCCAAACATTTAGCCTGCAAAACGGACAGATTAAGGTTATATGAGACACAAGCTCCATGTACACCCAACATTAGTATATAGCAATCACAAGAAAATCTGTTATGGTTATATAGGATATCCTAAATGTATAGATAGTTAGCTCAAGACAGGAATACAAAAAAACGCCTTCAGAGTAGATTCATGCGAGGCAATAAGAGAGCTGGCTGCCAATAAATAATAGACAAGCCTGAGGTTGTTGCAACTAACCTGGAATACAATACCAAATGAACCTTGACCAACAATCCGCTCAGCCATGTAGCTCACGGTCTGCAGGTACATCCAAGAACAAGATTATTAACATGAAATAAGTCACATAAACTATTCAGCTCAACAAACTATTCTAAGAAAGGTAGCATTAGCAGAGATTGACAATAATGAAGGCATTTAGGACATTTAGCACGCCACAATTATGTTGTTGGCCCAACGATCGAATCATGCATGCAGGCAAACAGATGAGAACAAAAGGCTGCTGATCCTAATCAAATGTGACATCATAGGAACAAACAGTCACCTGTTTGGGCTGACCATTTTTGCCACCAGTAGTTGTGACAATTATGTGTCCAGTCTCTGTTCCCTTGCCATTAATAATAGTGGCTTCCACTTCCTGCATATGTCATTCAAGCCAATCGTTAGGATTAAGTCGTATTTTTTGGAAATAAAATAGACTGCAGAAGACCCATCCAGATGACGCTTATCTGACCTTATCATCTCTTATCTTCAAATCGTTCATCTGATCTGGTAGCTTCTCAGCACCCATGCTGGTGCCTCTGCTGTTCTTGTGCCCAGACGGAGCAACCCCTACTGAAGCCATCTGTTACGGAAGCCAAGAGACGCCGATTCAGCAGCGCATCAATTCACAGAAGCAGTAGGTGTTTTGGTGTATCTGCAAATCGAATGACCAACATCAGTCATACGAGGTAGCAACAAAATTCAGAATAAACACGCCAGATGCAATTCACGACGGTTAAACACGAAATGTGCCTAACTAGCATAGCCAATTTGAGCGATGAAACGTTTATTTGGCCTAACTATTAGGTCTGCGCTCGGCGACCATGTTCTCGGGGAAAGCAGCTTTCCGCTCGAGAAAGTGGACCTGAAATAACGCAGCGAATGCATCTCATCTCTTGTGCATCTGTTTGGAGGGCATCAATAGATGCAAGGTACCAGCCTCTCAAACAATCACTACTACTGGGTACGATTTGACGGCGTAAATGATCTAGCTAGCAGTAAATAGCAGAAATATTTTAGCATTCGTACGAGTGCTCCCTGCTGACTAAACACCGACACAAATCCAGAACACACGCCGCCGCACCACATCCCTCCTAAGAAGCAACGCGTCGGAGAAAATCAGCTAATCTGCGAGGAATCCTCGCGCAAATTCCCGCAGAGATCGCAAAATGGCCTTGGCTTCCGTCAGGAAAAGGCGCGGATCCTGGCAGAGTCGTAGCCAGGTCACCGGAACGAACAATCAGCACGAGAAGCAGGAAGAGGCCACACGCTGCGCGGACTCAACAGCCACGGATGGATGGACCAGAGAACGCGTCTTCCCGGAGGACGCAAAACCCAGCAGCAGGAAGAACCAAATCGGCGAAGAAGGGGAAGGGACGCGCCGCGATTCATACCTCCTCCTTGCCGAGAGATCGCTGGATTCTCGGCTACCCCGCTCGCTCCGCCCTGTGTTGCGGCTGGGTTGGCTTCCCCCTTTCCTCTCCCCTCTCCCCTCTCCTTTCTGGTTGTCGGGACGCAACGAGATAGCAGTAGTAGTACTAGTCCAGCACCACCGGTGCGAGTGCCAAGGCCAAGGCGGAGGGACGACGCAGCGGCCGAAATGATTTGTGCCTGCCCCCCGCCTAGCACTGCTATACACACGATGCTAATAGCCGATTTGTGGACGACGCTGGAGATCACACCATACGTCGCACGGCAGCAGCACCGGTGCACCGTTGGATATGTCGTTCGGCTGTATGTCGTCTGTGCAGTATCGGCTGCACAGCAGTTTCGCCCCCCGCCTGCTGCCGAGGGCAGTCAAAGCAACCCACCACCACGGGAACGCGCGTCACCCGCCACGGCCCCGCCCGCCTCTACGCTCCCCGACAGGTGGGCCGTTTTCCTTAAAGGTCCCACACGTCGGGGTCGTGGAGCGGGTACGCGTCTCGGGGCGCGTGGGGGCTCGGGATCGATGGATCCATTGGGGTTTGGTTGGCCACGCCTTTTGACCGGTCAAATCCGCGGGGCCCGCAGCCTGGACTGGACTGCCTCGGTGGGTCGCCCTTGCCGCTGCTCGCCTGCTTTATCGGCCCTCTCGCCGACGCGCGGGCCCGGCGTCACATGGCCCGCGGGATAGCGAGGGGAAGTGAGAGGGACGCGTGACGGGTGCCGTGTGCTGCCAAGGTACTAGTACTCGCCCTATTTCCCTTTCTTTTCACCGCGTCAGAGGACCGAAAGATTCGAGTAGGTCATGGGGGAAATGACGGGGCTGCCCCCGCCATTTCCCGCTGCGTCTGGTCTGGGTTGGGTAGATCTGGCTGGGGGTTTTGGTTTGGTTTGAACTCGGGGCGGGCTGGTGAACGGTAATGGGCGGCAGTGAGTGGAGAGAGGACCAGCGTCCAGCGGGAAGGGGGCTGAGCATGTGGCTGCAGCGAGGCGTGGGCGAAGTTTTTTCAGGACCGCGGGCGGGGGCAGCAGAGCACAGGTGCTACGTGTAACTCTGAGGCCGGACTGTGTGGTAAAGTACCACGCTGGATGCCAAAATTTCAAATTCACCGGCGAATCTCGCCTCGACAGCGGACCTGGGATGAGATCATGGAAATCATCGGTCTCCGCTCTTGAATTGAGACCCCAGCAGCCGCGAGTTATGGAGTGGGGGCTCGAGTGACGCTGACAGATGCTCCGTCTTGAGTACCCATTCTGAGAGACGGGTTTCGGTTTCAACTCAAGTGAGCCGAGCGGTAAATACCAGCGATTTTTTGTGGCTCCTAGACTCTGGACTTCCAGCGTGTTTAACGATGCAGTACTTCCTCCGTTTTCAGATGTAGCGTATATTTTGTTTTTTGCAAGTTAAACATGTCTATGTCTCACAAAATTAAGGAAAAGGTATCGACATTTACAATACAAAATGAGAACCATTAGATTCACGATGAAGGGTAATTTTATATTTCACAAATAATTGTGTATGTGCAATGCACGTTGATATCAGGCAATATATTAACTGCATTGCACATTAATATTAGATAAAATATATATTACATCTTAATATTAGGTAGGATATAACTATTTTGTTAATGCCAACATTGATATTAGGCATGTGCTAAATGTGTTTACTATTAAACATGTTTAATGCTAAACATCGGAGCGATGTAAAACGTTGGATAGATGCGTTTGAATGGATGAGATATGTTGGATCTCCACAACTCACTATATTTGTATTGGTATCTCTATCTTCTCTATTACTCTCTCCGTCCTATAATGTGAGACGTTTTTACAAACTAGCATAGCTTGCAAAAGCGTCTTACATTATGGAACGGAGGGAGTATATTTATTTAGTAAGGCCAACTTCACCGCGCGATCCTATCTTGTCCGGGTGTGTTCGTTTGGGGTAAAACGGACGAATAGCGCGGCCCAACGCGCGGCCCCAAACGAATAAATGTCCGGATTTCGTCCGTTGCCCAAACTTGCGCCGAGTTTGAGGCGAAACGGACATCGCGCGGACGGGCTCACCGCACGCTCTTGTCCTCCCGTGGCCCGCGTGTCGGCGACACTAGCAGTCCCTTCGCTTCCAATGCCTCCACCCCCTCTCCCCGCCCCGCCCCGCCGTCGGCGCCGCCGCTATTCTCCGTGCCGCCTCCTCACGACCGCAAGGTGTTCGACACTTTGCCCACAAAGGTATGGACAGTGGAGATGAGTTTTTCTTCCACCACTTCATTTGTTCATCGGACGATTCATCATCGCATGATGAAGATCTTGTGGTGGCTACACTGGTCGTTCACGACCACATTCAACGGCAGCTTCCTCGGTACAGGGGATCAGTCCCCGGCTGTGCTCCCAACTTGAACCGCAACAGGAAGAGAGGCAACGCCCTGCTCTATGCCGATTACTTTTCCAACACCCCGCTCTTCAAGCCGGATAAATTCCGTCGCCGTTTTCGAATGGCAAGGCATGTGTGCAATCGTATCCGATAGTGAGTGGTTGCTCATGACCCATAATTCGAGTGCAAGACAGATGCCCTTGGCAAGCTTGGATTCTCCTCTTATCAGAAATGCACTGCGGCCATCCGCATGCTTGCATATGGAATTCCAGGCGATCTAGTGGATGAGTATGTGCGTATGAGTGAGACAACATGTCTGATGTCAATGTACAAGTTCTGCCAGGCTGTGATCGAGGTGTTTGGCCCTGAGTACTTGAGGCAGCCAACTGTCGCTGATACAGAGATATTGTTGGCGACCAACGCAGCTAGAGGCTTTCCAGGCATGCTTGGCAGCATAGATTGTATGCATTGGGAGTGGAAGCACTGTCCATTTGCTTGGCAGGGCCAGTACAAGGGGCATGTCAAGGCGTGCACTGTCACATTAGAAGCGGTGGCTTCGCAGGATCTTTGGATATGGCATTCTTTCTTTGGCATGGCAGGTTCTCACAATGATATCAACGTGCTGCAGCGTTCTCCAGTCTTCGCAAGGCTTGCAGAAGGCCACTCCCCACCTGTCAACTTTGAGATCAACGGCCACCAGTACAACAAGGGATACTATCTAGCTGATGGTATATATCCTCAGTGGTCAACTTTTGTGAAGACAATCTCGAAACCCCAAGGTGAGAAGAGAAAGAGATTTGCCTAAATGCAAGAGAGTGCTAGAAAGGATATGGGACATGCTTTTGGTGTGCTTCAATCCCGGTGGGGTATCGTTCGAAACCCTGCACTGTCATAGGATGAAATGAAGCTTTGGGAGGTGATGACTGCTTGTGTGGTCATGCACAACATGATCATCGAGGACGAGCATGATGAGAGTATCTTCGACCAAGGATTTGATTATCAAGGTGAAAATGTTGAGCCCCTGCACCAAGAACCGGACACATTTGAACAGTTTGTCCAATTCCACCGTGAACTGCGTGATTGGCACACTCATTTGGATCTTCGAAATGACTTGGTTGAGTACGTGTGGGATCACATTGGCAACCAATAGATGTACTGGTTCATTTTATGTTCAGTCAAGACAATTTCGATTTGGTTGTAAAACTATTTTATTAGAGACAATTTCAATTGGGTTGTAAAGCTGTTTTTATTTTCAGACAAATATTTGGACGTGCAAACTAGTTTTGATATGAAAATATGGGCATTTTTTGGCCCAGGCGGACAGGATGGGGCAAAAGGATGCGGCCGCGCGCTGGGCGCATGGCCACCGCATCCCAGGACAGGCCCGGACACGGCCCCATCTCCCTGCCCAAAGGGACAAAATCCGGCCAAACCGGACGTCCGTTTGGGATCACGTGGTGGAGTTGGCCTAAATAGAACGTAAGGTTCTCGTTTCACTCTCTTCTTGGTCAAACCTCTATATATATGATCACCCTCTAATTTTTCTCTCAAATAATAATATTCTTTGGAAAGTAAATAATTCTTACTAAATAAATGCTTCACAATAAGATGATAATTTATTCTTCCATCCCTGCTCTGATCTTTCTTCTAAATAATATTTTCTTTGGTAAGTCAATAAACTCTTACCAAAATAAGTGCTTATCAATAAGATGACAGGTAAATCATGACAATTGCATACAAAAACTTGCTAAAATTTTAGCGCATCAATCTAATAGTAGACGTTCAAT